TGTATGCCCTCCCACGCAGCCCTGCGAGCTTACCCCAGACAGGGACCACTGCCCTGAGCTGGCCTATGTGGACCGACGTCACCAGCCAGCACCGTCGAGCCCATGGCCCTGCTGCTTGTCCGGGCGGCATGGATGCACTGGGGAAGGTGACATGACCCTTGTGCTTCCTTACTTTTCTCCTTTCCCCATTCTTTCCCCCCATAGTCTCCCGTTTCGCAAAGTGCAGCAGGAGGTTCCCACCCTCCATTTAGAGACACCAGGGAATCTGAATTCTTCTTCCAAGAGGGCAGACGGGCAGCCCAGCTGGGGGTGGGGATTGCCATCAGTGTTCACCCACACCCACCTCGAAGTCCCTGCCAGCATCTGGCAGCCCCAGGGGCAGCTGACTTCCTGGTCCTGACCCCAGCAGTCTACCCGGCACCCTTGTGTCAGCTGCCACCTTTGCCTAACCCTTTCAAAGGGAAATGGGTCATCTAGGCCCAAACCAAAGCAAGCTCACAGGGGGCTGTCCCAACCCCGGCACTGGGCGTCAGTGCCACGTCCAGACCAGGAACGGGCATTTCCCGACCTGAGGGCGATGCAGCTTTCTTCGTGGCGTGAGGCACCTGGGGAGCACGGAAGGTTTGTGGCCGACGACTCACGGAAACATTGTCAGTGCGAACCCACCCGGGGGCATCACAGAGGGATGAGAGCCAGGAAAACTCCGGGGCAGCCCTGCTGTGTGACGCGTTGGGCCACCGTGAGTCCAGATCGGCTCAGTCACAATGGGCTTTAGTTTGGGTTTTTTTTTTTCACTGCAGTGCTGTTTAGGAGCTCTGGTAGCATAGTCCCTAAGGCATTTGACTGCTAACCAAAAGGCTGGCAGTTCAAACCCACCAGCCACTCCCCGGAAGGAAGGTTGGGCAGTCTACTTCCATGGCGATACAGCGTTGGAAACCCAAGGAGGGGTCGCTGTGAGTCGGGTCCCAGTCGATGGCATGTAACAACAACAACAAGTGCTGTCTTGTTCTGTCATACTTAACAAGACATGTTATACGTACCAGGCCTTGCATGTCCTGCCCACAAGCCCTCCTAATCCTCACAGCGGCCTGATGCGGTGCAGGTCCCATTGTTATCATCAGCATTTCAGATGTGGGCAGCTGGGGCTCACAGAGTCACGGAAGCTCCCCGAGGCCTCCCAGCAGGTAACTGAGGCAAGAGAGCCCAGAACCCACCTCTCCTGGGAGAGACTCAGCCTGCGGGAGATCAGGGCGTGAACCTTAGTGTGTGGCGTAGCGTGTGACCTTACGGCTGTTTGGGGAAAACGCTTATTTACTATGCTCTGCTCGCCAGTTGTGTTTAGTGAGGGTGTAAATGGTGGGCGTGCTCAGCTGCTGACCAACGCACCAGAGGCCCCTCGAAAGACTGTCCTGGGGGTCGGCTTCTGAGAAACCAACCACTGAGAGCCCAGTGGGGCCCGGTTCTACTGCCACGCACATGGGCTGCCGTGAGGAGGAGCCAGCCGCAGGGCAGCTGGGGAACTGGGTTCTGAGTGTTGTGCCCGACAGGCAGTTCCAAGAAGGGCGGGAAGTTGGGGTTGTGCTACGCCTGGCGAAGCCTGGCAGCCGTGCTCCTCCTGGGGCCGTGGCTGCCGTGGATTTTGTGGGCTTGTCAGTGTTGTGAGCTGGTGACTGCTGCACGGCGGGCAAACTGACCACACAGTGTGTCTGGCACATTCCATGCAGCCTTGCAGTCAGCCAGGCCGCTGGTCCGAGGGGTCGAATGTGTCAGACTGGGTTCTCTAGAGAAACAAAACCAGTAAAGCTTATAGAGAGAGAAAAAGAAATTTGTCCTAGGAAAATGGCTCACATGCTTACAGAAGTGGGCGAGTCCCAGGTTCTTGGATCCAATGTCAAGTTGGATGCTTTTCCCGACTCACGCAGCTGCAGGGGCTCTCAAGGTTGGCAGGCAGTATACCAGCTGTTGACTCCAATGAATGACAAATACAAGATCTCCAGGCCAAATGGTGGATTGTTTGTTTGTGGACAGTTGTAGGCAGCACAACAGGATCCCGATCCACAGAAGAGTGTCTCTTTTCCCAGGATGTCCATAAATATACTGGAAGCAGGCCACACCCCTAGGGAAACTCCCTTTCAGCAGATTGGCTGCTCAAAACATTTACATCTGATCCCATGATTGGAACAACCCACATCACAGTTGCTTAAACTACACAGAATTGTCAACAGCCACGTTGACACACAGCTCCAACTATCACAGTCCACCCCTTGTCAACTTGGCAGTTGTACACATCTTCTTAACCATATATAATCTCTAAATAAGGACAATTATAAAGTCATATTTGCGCCTAACATGATACGCTTCCAGCGCAGGCTTCTTGGGCTCAGTTCCACATGGCAGACATTGCCCCAACTGAACTTCTCCCCACGGGGAGTTTCAGCGCCCTGAGCAGACAGGCCTGTAGACGTTTCCAGCCGAAGGGATGAGAGATGTGGAACATACTAAGTGCTGCGGGAGGACAGAACTTCCCAGAGGAAGACAGGGAAGGGCTGTTTAACTGGGTTTTGGAGGACGGATAGGAGTTCTCTAGGCAGGGATGGGGAGACAGGATTCAAGGTAGAAGGGACTTGGATGCTCAGAGGTGTGTTCAGGGCAGGCCTGGTGGAACAGGAGGAGCAGGGCAGTGGGTTGTGGGGCAGTGGCGGCCGAGGGAACTGAATAGCAGCCGATCACACAGGGTCTGGAATTTCAGACGTATTGTGAGCAGTGGGCAGCCAAGGACAGTGTCGAGCTGCAGCCAAGGACAGTGCAGAAAGACAGCTGCTGGCAGTGGGGGAGGGAGACGCTGGAAACAGGGAGGCCTCCGGTCACCAAGGACAAAGCCCTGTGCGCCCAGGGTGACCTTTGCTAGAGGTGGCTTTGCAGGCTGGCCCTGACTAAGCCTGGGATGCAGGCAGAACCCACAGCCCCGGCCTGTCACGACTCAGGCCAACAGAGGAAGAAGTAAGAACGGGGTTTGGGCCTGGAGGGGCAGTGGGGTTGTGACGTGGGTCTGTGGTGCCGGGCCAGGATCCAGACAGCGTTTCTGGGGTCAAGGGCAATGTACACAGGCGGCAGGCTCAGGTGCCCCCCTGCCCCTGGAGGCAAAGACAGCCCTGGCCGGGGGCTTCCAAGAGGTGCGTGCAGACCCCTTTGGCTGTAGGGGTCTCTTGAACCTGGTACCGACATGCCACACATTCCTGGTGTTTTGCTCACATCCCCACTAACATAACCCTCACCCAGAGTGACCCTGATCAGCTGAGTTTGGAGGGCAAAGCTTTGAAAGCCATTAAAACAAATCATGTCACTAGGCTGATAAACCTTGAAATGAAAGCAGGGAGGGCCCGCCCAGCCCGAGTGACCATGGGAACTGCTGATTTGAGCACTGCTGACTGTCTGGGAGTGAAGCAGAACCCTGCCTTAATTGCCAGCAGAAAGCCCTGTGGGATGACCCATCAGCAACCTCTGACTCCAGCAAACATTCCGGAACATTCTGGAACCTTCCCGGCCTCCTCTCTTCCCCTCCCTCTTGTGCCACGGTCCTAGATATTTTTCCTGCTGTTAAACCTCCTTCCTTGGTGTACGTTGTCTCTTAGGTCTGCCGGCTCTGCCTGCAGGCATCGTCCTCGAGCGCAGTTTGAGTTCAAAATGTGCTGACCCTCCCCATCAGGCCCCTGATGGAATGTGTGGTATAAAGCATCATCAGTAGGATGTTTTCCAGGAAAACTTTCAGGACAGATTAGGAGGGCAGCAGGGTAGATCTTCTTTTAGATTAAGAGTCCAAACCTGAAGATGGTGGGGCCCATTTAAAGTAAGTAACCACCCCTTCTGTCCTGAGCCTGAAAAAGCCAGTTTGCCAATCGGCTGGGGAGGGGTCTCCAGCCACCCCTAACTGAATGGCCGGGATTGCAGGCAGGTTCACTGTTGCTGCTTCTCCCCGCCACCAGCAAACACACGCTGGAGAAAATGCATACAAGCCCACATGGTCAGTGGCTTTGGTCGTCACTGACCACTCCAGGGTCACAGAAACATCACATCCCTGCTGAGGAGGAAGGCACGGTCTTGGGTTTGTAGCCACTGTTGATAAACAGGTTTTGTTGAAGAATCATGGGGCTGGAGGGGTACTAAGAGTTCTCCTCTCAGTGATGGGGCCTGGTGAACCCCTGAGACTAGGGCCCTGAGTCACTCTTCGGGCCTAGAATTGAGCTCATTCCCGTGGCTTCCGGCCAAACAACAGACAGGCCTGTAAGGTGAACATGTACACCAGGGAGGTTCACTCCTTAGAGCGATCAACCTTGGGAGAACAGAAGGGCAGTGTTTGCTCAGGGAGACCTCTCAGGGGGCAGGAGTGCACAGCAAAAAAGGACACAGGGAAGAGGCAACTGCAGGGAGGAAGTGGGAAGAGCTGTTACGCTGCGGGGATTACAGTCAATGCCATGAAGCAGAATGTGTATGAACTGCTGTATGGAGGACGAATTTGCCCTGTAAACGTGCACCTAAATGAGCAGGTATGGTGTCAGGCCCCATGCTGGGGGCGGGGAACATCTTGTCCCTCATTTTACAGCCCAACAGTTAGGCACTTGGGTGATAACTCAGAGGTCATCAGTTCCAACCCACCTAGTGTCTCCATGGGAGAACGACCTGATGGCCTGCTCCCATAAACATCGCAGCCTCGGAACCCTATGGGCAGTTCCACTCGGTGCCTCCCAGAAAGATCGCAGCCTTGGAACCCTACAGGCAGTTCCACTTGGTGCCACGTGGGCTTGTTATGAGTTGAAATCTGCTCAAGAAAACACCCAATAGCAACACCAGACGAGGGCTAGGCGCCCGCCTGCCTCTCTGCCTCTGCCTCCCCCTTGGCGCCCCCTGCAGGCTGGAGGTCTTGCCACACCTTGGAGCGGGCCCGTCCATCTTGTGGGAACTCTTAACCCAAATCCTGTCCTGTGTATCTTTGTGTCTTACAGTGATCAGGGCCAAAGCGGTCAGCGAGAAGGAGGTGGACTCTGGGAACGACATCTATGGCAATCCCATCAAGAGGATTCAGTACGAAATCAAGCAGATAAAGGTAATGCAGGCACGGCCCTGGGCGGAGCTGTAGGGCGGCCGGAGGGTTTGCAGAAAGGCTAGGTCCTTCCTCAAGTGGCCTGAAGACGATACGAAAATGTCCAGCCATCTTGCCAAGGGGCTGCTGGGTCCCAGGACACAGCCGACCAACATGTGGGGCAGAAAGCAAGGCTTTCACCCAAATTTTCCTTGGCCAAAATGACTGGGAAGTTGTGTGGGAATGGTGTGTTCCCATCCACCTACATAATTTCAGAAATGTGTTACTTTTATTTTGGTAGATAATAACTTGGTAGAATCACCTTAGCTTCATGATAGCAATTCTAGAATCTTCTATGAGTGTCTCTCAGTGGCTGTGATGCTGTGAGGGCTCAAATGGCACTGGCCGTTGCCTGTGGATCCTACCGCTGACCTGAGAAAATTTGACCTACGTGGCAGCATGTCATCTAGACTTGCCTTGTTGGCTTTAATTCTGAAGAGAAGCAGGATCTTAAGAGAGGAGATTTCTGAGGACTGGTGTTGTTAGGGGCAGCTTCCTGAAAGAGGGATGTTAGGGAAGAAACAGAGTTACGTCAAGTGGGAATTAACTGGGCAGGAGTCATGGTGGCAGACTAAGGGGGTGGCAGTGACATGGTTGACAGTTTTCAAGAGCTGTCCATGTTCAAGGACGTCTGTGGAGAGGACTGTTTGTCAGAGAAACAGATGGAAGCTCACGGAAGAACACTGGCTGGAAGATTGGAAGGATGGGACCCAGCACTGGGGCAGATGGGTCATCGCTACTGTCCTTGATGGTAACTAGTTGGTCTGTGGGAGAGAAGAAAAATGCCAGGTTCTAGGTAAGGGCAGCTTTGTAACATTGTAGCAGTTGTAGCTGTCGATGTTGAATTTTGGTGCAAAAATAAAAAGTAGTAGAAAGTAAATGTGGGAAGAAGACAAAGTCGGTGAAATGCGGAATCATTAAATATGTTACTTGCAGGAGGCCACGAAGTCTTTTGGCTCTAAGTCTATTTAAAGAGAAGTCCTGCCGTTGCAGCCTCATTGAGGGGTCACGGAATGGCAGGTGTACCGCCCAGGAAGGGCTCTTGGAGCCCTTGGAGAAAGGGGTCACTCTGTACAGCATGCTGTTGTAACCATGATCTTTCTTAGTAGATGTTGGAGTCTAGTTACTGCAACACTTGTTGGTCTTGACGTTATAGATGACCCTGTTCCATTTGGGTTTGCTTCCTGAAACTCTGAAGGAAAAAAAAAGAAGCCATTAACCTTGGAGTCCTGAGTGCGTTCAAGTTCAAGTGGAATCGTGAAGCCCAGGAGCTTCCGAAACTGTCTTCCCAGAGTTGTGTTGGTGTGGGCCCGGAGTGTGTGCTGTTCCCTCTCCACTCTTCTCCTCCCTAAAGAGAAAATGCCAGGCTGCAGATGGGGGTAGCGGTTAGAACTCTCGATATTTAGTTGACACCCCCCTTATCTCCTCCCCAGGGCGCACACGTGCGTGCCGGCACGCACACACACACACATGTACATACACAGACAGCCTCCATGGGGTTACACCCCCTGAAGCCAGAGCGCAGCTCTCAGGCTGACCTCAGATTGCCACCTCCCCTGCCCCACCGTGGGGGCAACAAGAACCCCTTACTTCCCTCCAGGCCCTAGAACAGTGTACCCCTTTACCCTATAGTGTACCTTTCTGAGAGGCTGTGAGATCAGATATGGGCCGCCCAACCCCTCTGGGCCATGGGCCTGCAGCCTAATTCCAGGGTGACTCTGTTCCCACCCTGTCAGATAGTCAGTGCTTGGTCAACTTTCCCAGGATATACAAAGGCAGGAGTCCATGGTACAGGAAATGGGGAACACGCTTGGCTGCTAACCTGCAGGTTGGGGGTTCAAGTCCACCCACAGGTTTCTGGGGAGACAGGCCTGATCTGCTGAAGAATCAGTCATTGGAAACCCACGGAGCGCAGTTCACTGGGGCTCCCACAGGGTCACCGGGAGTCAGGAGCTTCACCTTGAAAACAGTTTTTTGTTGTTTTTTTTAGTGGTTCTCCATCTTGGGTCAGAATTCCCTGGAAACACATAAGCCCCCCCTCAGAGTCTCCAACGATCTATTCTCAGATGGTAGTCTGAGAAAGCCCCTCCAGCGACCGATTGCCACTGTATTGAGTCATCGGTCACAGGGACACTCACCTTGCTTGTCCCCTTCGTACATCCTGTGCCCCTTTGCTGGCAGCGTGGCGCCGGAGGCCGGGCCGCCCACCGTGTTCTGGTGGGAACAGACAGCCCTCCTCCTGCTGACCTTGCCTGGTCTTCTCTTGCAGATGTTCAAAGGCCCTGACCAGGATATAGAGCTCATCTCCACGGCCCCCTCCTCGGCGGTGTGTGGGGTCTCGCTGGACGTTGGAGGAAAGAAGGAGTATCTTATTGCAGGTGTGTGAGTGCAGGGTGCTTCAGGCTGGAGACCCATAGTGGCTGCAGCACCCACTGTCCAGAGGTGTGCACACGTCCCCACAGGGCGGAGAGACAGGAAATACGAGACCCGTTCGATAGGGAAGTGTGGCTGGTGAGTAAACGGGTCAGGAAGTGCAAAGAGGAAGGTCGACACCGCAGACCTGAAGATCTAGACGACTTAGGGATGGCAGTGCTGTTGACCTTGGCCATGGCGAGAGGGCAGTCACTGTGGTGGCCAGCGTGGGGGGCAGGTCCTGTGTGATCATCCTTGGGTGACCCCTCCTGCTTTCTTCAAATGCTCACCCCCAGCCGGGGCTTCCTCGGCTTTCTCTGTTGCTGCGTTGAAGCTCTTCTGTCCCCTCCTCAAAGATGACACACTTGTTTGTGCTTTTCTGAGCGCCCCACATGTCTATTAAAGTGTCCACTATATTTCAGCAATTTTATTAAGAGTTGATTCACACACGTACAGTGTACCCTGTCAGGTGTGCAGTTCAGTGGTTTTCGCATGTTCTCAGGTGCAGCCATGGCCACGCACTAGAATGTCTCCATCACCCCAGATCCAGTAGCATCACCCCACCGTCTTCCCGTCTCCCCAGCCCATCCCTAAGCAGCCGCTGCTCTGCTTTCCGTCTCTAGAGTCCCTGTTGGACCTCCCCCATGAATGGAAGCACACACGCATGACTCCTGCGCCTGGTTTCTTTCTCTCTGCATCACGTCTGCGGGGCTCGTCCACGCTGTGACGTGTATCAGCACTCCATTTCCTTGAATTGCCAAATAATATTCCAATGATAGCCCACCGTGTGGATGAACCACTTTGTGTTTGTCCACTCGCCGTTGGTGGGCATCTGGGTGGTTTCCACCTTTTGGCTGCTGTGGATAACGCTGTTGTGAGCATTTACGTACACGTTTTGGGGTGGGTCTGTGTTTTCATTCTGTTGGTATAAACCTAGGAGTAGATGTGCCGGGCATACGGTGATTCTCCATTTAACTGTTTGAGGAACCTCCGGACCATTCTCCGAAGTGCCTAGACTGTTTTATCGCCCAATGGCTGTTATTTGAAAAACCGTAAGGAAGAACAAGGATGTGGGGCCCCAGTCACCCATGATGCAGAGATCTCTGAACAGTGCCGATACCGTGACAACACAGAGAGGAGGGGAGGACCAGACGGGGTGCAGCGGCTGCAAGACCTCGGATACACGCGGCTCGGCCATGTGGGGCAGGTGCCCGGGGCCACTCAGCCTGCCCACAGACGGCAGCCTGCCAGCATTTCACGTTGGCTCTTTTTTAAGCTTCTTGTATTTGCTAAATTTTTAAAATTTCATATATACGGAGTCTTGGAGGCATAGTGGCTGCTAACCAGAAAGTTGGCAGTTTAAACCCCCAGTGGTTCTGTGAGAGAAAGACTTGATAGTCTGTTTGGTAAACTTTACAGCCTCGCAAACATGGGGTCACAACAACATTACATTGTTAACTAGAAAAATGTAATCTGGAGAGAAGAGAACAGGGACAGACCCACCCAGGGCACAGGATCTTTTTACGCCTGTAACTCTAGTGTCTGGTTTCCCCAGGCCTTTTTGTCCTGAATCATAGACCCGCCCTGGCAGTCCCAGCTCATTTTGCACTGCCCTCTAGAGGCTGCCTGGCCAGACTGCAGAACTGCAAAAACCCTTGTCAAGGGGAGGCAGGAATCTTTATGGAATTAGATTGCCCAGGCGCCCTTCCTCAGAGCGGCTGGTGGGTTTGAACCGCCAGCCTCCTGGTTAGCAGTCATATGCCTTAGGCACTGCGCCACCAGAGCTCCTTCTGTTACCACCGAGCTCCTTAACTCACGGATGTCACCGAAACTTCCCAGTGCCTTTCGAGATGCTGAGTGGTGTCTGAGTTTAAAGTCCCCGGAAATGTCACTAATGTGGCAATCTACAGAGTGCAGTTGGGAAGTTTTTCAAAAACACAGTTTTCAAAACCCCAGTATTTGAAAACTTAGGATTCGCGTCATACATCTGGCAGTGGCCTTTTTTGATCTTAGGTTCCGTGGCCCGTTAGGAAGCTCCTGGGTCATACTGGCTTGCTTCCAGCGTCAACTGTAAGGTCAGCAAAGATGATGGGTTCACCCCCGTCTGCCAGTCTGTCATCCTGTGGTGGCTTTTGTGTAGCTGTGCCACCCAAACCCCTAGCAACTCTGTAGGACAGAGTCGACCCGCCCCAGGGCTTCCAGGGCTGGGGCAGGGTCCCTGGGGGCACAGTGGTTGAGGGCTTGCTGCCGACCAAAAGGCTGGAAGGCACCCAGTGGCTCTGTGGGGAGAGGACCTGGCAGTCTGCTTTCCTGAAAGACTGCAGCCTTGGAAAGTCTGTGGGGCGGGTCTGCTGTCCCACAGGGTCACTGTGAGCAGGAGTCAACTTGACAGCACACAACAACAGCAGCAACCCAAGAGTGGAAGCTCAGAAACCAGGTGTACTTGACTTTGAACTTGACTGTTAGCGCCTGACCAGCTGTCGTCCTTGGACAAGTGACCTCACGTGTCTGTCGCCAAGTCCTCACCAGTGAACCGAGGCACTGACAGCCGTACCTGCCTCAGGAGGCCGTTGGGAGGATGAAGGTGGGAGATGAGGGACCCAGGCTGTGCTCAGGGGGCAGGGCTCCCTCTGGGTAGCCAGTAGTGTTGTTATTTCAGTTAGATCTGGGGTCACAGCCCAGGGAAAGTTAATGAGTGCCTGACGGTCTACGGACAGTGAGCTTAGCAGTGGGGTGGGAGGAAGGAGAAGTGACTGCATCCTGCTGGAACATTGTTGCTCGCGTGATCTGGGCAGACATCTTCCACAGAAAACTCCCTGACAGACCTGGTGCGGGGAACACGTTGAGGACAACGTGAGTGTCCTCAGCCCTGCTTCTGGGCCCCTGCCTGCTGCCTTGGAGGCCCATTCTTTGGGACAGCTCGGCTGGGGGCCTCTTCACGTCTCCTCCCACCAAGAAGGCATTGCCTCATCCTTAGCCACTTGGCTTGGGGAGCAGGGTGTGGTGTGATGGCGGTGGTGGCCAGCCACCCGTGCCTGGTAGACCCATCCTCTGACTCCCATCCAATTTGTTGTTTACTTCCTGAGGCACGGAATCGACACCCAGTTTTCTGGGAGCCTAGACTGGCCCCTTGGCCAGGGGCCACCCAGACATCACAGCCGCTGTGCTCCCCGTAGCCAGCACTGGCTGCAGCCCTGTGAGGGGCCCCACAGCCTGTCGCAGCTCCCACCTCTTGGCTGTAAGCTCGGTGTCACGTGCTGATTGGGCACCGTGAGACGTTATCTGCAGGGTCTCTGGGAGAATTAGGCCTTCCACAGCCCACTCCTTGGAAAGGAAAAGTAAACATGCAACCCACAGTTGCAAATTTTAATTCATTCCTGATTTTCTACACCCAAGCCTCATGCTTGGCTTTTGGCCAAGGCAGCTCTAAGGAGGAAGCTTCAGCAGACAGCCCAGTCTCCTGTGCCTGGCTGAGGTGAATCATGTGCTAACCGGGCCTTCTTTGGCGTCCCCGGGTGGTACGTGCAGTTAACGGGCCTGACTGCCGACCTAAAGGTTAGCCGATCAAACCCACCCAGTAGGGCCACAGAGGGAAGGCCTGGTGGGGTGCTTCCATAAAGACTGTTGTGGTGTTGGGTGCCGTCAGGTGGTTCCGGCTCCTAGAAGCTCTGTGTACCGCAGAACCACACTCTGTCCAGCCCTGCACCACCCGCACAGTCCCTGTTGTCTGAGCCCATTGTGGCGGCCACTGGGTCAGTCCATCCTGTCTTCCTCCTTTTCACTGACCCTCCTCTTTACCCAGCACCATGTCCTTCCCCAGGGATGCTAATGATGCTGAGGCCATGGTTCGATCCCCCTATAGGCCAGGAACCCTAGGGCCCCAGGAAAGAGCTCTGGTGGCTCAGTGCCTAAGGCATCTGACTGCTAACCAGAAGGTTGATGGTTCAAACCCACCAGCCAGTCTGCAGAAGGCAGACTGGGCGGTCTACTTCTGTAAAGATTTACTGCCTTGGAAAACCAAAGAGGGTCACTATGAGTTGGAATCGACTCCGTGGCAGTGAGTTTGGTTTTTTGGGGTGGTTTTTTTTTTTGGCCCACAGTGGTTAACTGCTTGGTATTAACCAAAAGTTCAGCAGTTCAAACCTACCAGCCGCTCCACAGGAGAGAGATGAGGCAGTTTGCTTTTGTAAAGATTACACTCTTGGAAACTCTGTGGGGCAGGCAGTTCCACTCTGTCCTCTAGGGGCGCTGTGAGTCAGTGTCCACTCCAGGCAGTGGGTGTGGCTTGGGCTTTGCTTCTGTGAAGATTGACAGCCTTGGAGACCCTGTGGGGCAGTTCCACTCTGTCCTCTAGGGGCGCTGTGGGTC